AGGGGGCAGGGAATAAGAAAGGAGAAGAGCCCTCTCGGGCCCCCCCGCCCCGCCGGCGAGCGCAGCCCGGGAGGGGTCCGCAGGAGGCTAACAAGCCCTTCCTTCCTTCTCCTCGCCCCCCAAGAGGGCCCAGAAGCCCCGCCACCACCCACTTGCTGGGCAACGGTGCAAAAAGAAGGGTCTCCCCCGGCTCCCTGCTCAGCCCGCAGTTTTCCGGGGGGAGAGGGGACTCGCACCTTGCGCTTGCGGGCCTCCGCCGTGCCGCTCCACACAAAGCACTGGTAGATGGCCCGCAGGTTCTGCTTCCAGTTGTCCACCTTGAAGCTGCTCAGGTGCGAGCAGCCCGGCGGCGTCACCACCAGCTCCGCGTCCATGGCCTCGCTCTCCGGCTCGGGCCGGGACACCATGGGGGGCAAGGCCCGGCCGCGCGCGGGGGGCGGCGAAGGGGACGAGGACGACGCCAGCGCGGCGCAGGGGCGGGGGGGGGGGGCGCTGCTCGGCGGCGCGCCGCGGCCGGCCGGAGAACGGGCGCCGGGAACAAAGCGCGGGCAGCCGCGGGGCTGGCGGACAAAGACCCGGCTGCGCGGACGCCAAGGGGGAGGCGGCGGCCAGCCAGGCGCCGCCCGCGCTGCGCTCGCCGGGTTTGCGGAGCGCGGCGCGGGGCGGGGCGCGGAGGCCGCAGGCGGAGGTTACGTCATCCCCGGCCGGCCGCGGGCGCCGCACTGCGCAGGCTCCGGCCGCTCCCGGGCCCGCCCCGCCACCCCACCGCCCCCCGCCGCCCGCAGGCTCCGGGGCGATCCGCGGACTGAGTGCACGGCGGGGGCGTGGAGCCGACCAGGGCCCGCCCCCGCGCTTACGCCAGCGGTCGCCGGTCGGCCGGCGGCGCCCGCGGCGGTTGTCGCTAGCTGTCAGTACAGGCCGCCTGGTTCAGAGCTGCCTCCCGGGAAGCTGGCCACTTGCCATTCCCGGTCTCCCACGGAGAGCTGCGGAGGTGGGGGCCAGCCGAGGCTTGGGTGACGCGGAACGGCCTTCGGGGCACTGAGCCGGTTTGCACCGACCTGAGCTCTGCCGCAAAGAGGCGGAGCAACGGGCTGGACCTTGCAAATCCGTGCTGTCTCCCTTGGCCGCCGATCCTTGCTGACCCCCCAGCCTGGGCTTTCCACCACCCTAGGCGGTGCCTCCCTGGTTCGCTGTCAGTGTTGTTGGCAATGGGAGTCCCTCATCTGGGACTCTGCCGGCCTCTCTCATCTTTGTGGCCTGTCTGGAAGTTGCTGGGCATTGAAATGATTAAGACCACGTCCTACTTTGAGAAGCTCAGGATGGATGCCATGTGATTTCACTCACGCAGAATTGAGGAAACAAAAGAAATGAACAAAGGAAAAAACCAAAACCCCAGACTCAAAAAAACAGAACAAACTGGTGGCTGTCCGAGGGAGGGTGGGTGGGTGCATGGGTGAAATAAAAGGGATTAAGAATGCACTTAAATTGATGAGCACTGAGAAATGTATAGAATTGTTGAATAATTGTACATGTGAGACTAATAGAACATTTTATATTAATTGTACTTCAATAAGAAAAAAATTCCAGAGTGAAATGTCAATTGATGCAGCCACTGTGGAGGTTCCTCAAACATTAACATTACCAATATCCCATGAGCCAGTAATCGCACTACTGGGTATTTACCCAAAGAAAATAATACTGACTCAAGGCTGTATGCACCCCTCTGCTTATTGTAGCATTATTTATGATAGGCAAGATATGGAAGCAACCTAAGTGTCAGTCAATACATGAATGGATAAAGATGTGGTATATATACACGGTAGAATATTACGGCCATAAAAAAGGAATGAGAGCTTGCCATTTGTGACTGCATGGATGGACCTAGAAGGTATTACGCCAAGTGAAGTAAGTCAAACAGAGAAAGACAAACACTATATGATTTCACTCCTGTGTGAAATCTAAAAAACAAAATGAACAAACAAAAAGGCAGAAACGGATCCATAAATACAGAGAAAAATCTGGTGGTTGCCAGAGGGGAGTGGGGGATGGGAGGGGATGTGCAAAAATGGGTGAAAGGGAGTGGGAGGTCCAGGCTTCCAGTTATGGGGTGAATAAGCCATGGGGAGGAAAGGTACAGCATGGCTGTAATAATAGGGCAGGAGAGTGACCGAGGGCGGCTACACTTGTGGTATGCACAGCATAATGCACGGAGTTGTGGAATCACTATGCTGTGTGCCGGAAACTAATGTAACATTGTGTGTCAACTGTACTTGAATTAAAAAAAAAAAAGAATCCCATGGGGCACCTGGGCGGCTCAGTCGTTAAGCGTCTGCCTTCGGCTCAGGTCATGATCCCGGGGTCCTGGGATCAAGCCCTACATCGGGCTCCCTGCTCCGTGGGAAGCCTGCTTCTCCCTCTCCCACTACCTCTGCCTCTGTTCCCTCTCTCACTGTTTCTCTCTCTGTCAAATCAATAAATAAAATCTTAAAAAAAAAAATCCCACAATGTAGTGGGATAAATAGCAACATCAGCAGGCAATTACAGTAATATGAAATTGCAGAGATAAAGGAAAGTCCAGGTAACATGAAAACATTGCAAGACACCTTTTACCATAACCCTGCCCAGCAGTCATAGTGGGGGGGGGGATCCAGAAATGTTTAGTATGCCTGACAGAAGCATAGAACGATGAGTAAGAGTTGGCCAGTTTTTTAAAAATAAGTCACATGGTGAGGGATTTGTCTTAAAAAGTATTTCCCACCATCCATGAGACTAACATGGTCTAAAATTTATTTTCTATACGTTTTTTTAATTTTTGTTTTCCAACTTAAAGAAATTTAAAACACCTGTGGAATTGTGCTTCCACAATTGGAAGGTGTTGACTGTAGGTCAAGCAATATCCTACACTAATCCTCCGTCTGATAACAACTGTGATCTCTGGACAGAATACAAAAACAAACACCTGAAAGCATTGGAGAGTGACCCAAAGCAAGCAGATTCAGGAGGGAGCAGACCCGTGGAAGACGGGACTTGCCCAAAGGAAGTAACCTGTTTTTTATGGCTTATAGACTGAGGACAGGCTACACTTGGAGGAACCCAGACAGAGAAGCTGAAACGCTGACAAAAGACCCCCACCTCTTTCTGGACTGAGGAATCACAGGAAGAATACTGAACAAACCACTGAAAAGTGAGGAGAAAGAGAAGGGGAGCCCCAGAGTCTATGCATGAACTATTTCTTGACCACTTAGCCACTCATTGCTAATTCCAAGCAGCCCAAGTAGAAGAAAAAGAAGTGAGTAGAGATTAAACCTGCTGCCCAAGAAATAGTTAAAATTTAAGTTGGTGCCTTTAAGAAAAACTTTATCAACTCTCTTTGGAGGTGTATAACAAAATCCATACTTAAAAAATATAACATTTCTAGGATGCCTGGGTGGCTCAGTCGTGGGGCGTCTGCCTTTGGCTCGGGTCACGATCCCGGGGTCCTGGGATCGAGCCCCGCATTGGGCACCCTGCTCCGCGGGGGGCCTTCTTCTCCCTCTCCCACTCCCCCTGCTTGTGTTCCCTCTCTTGCTGTCTCTCTCTCTGTCAAATAAATAAAAAAATAAAAATCTTAAAAAATATATAACATTTCTAACATTCAAGATACAATCCAAAATTATTTGACATATGAAGAAAAATATGGAAATATGATTCATTTTCAAGAGATAAGACAGTCAGAGGTGAACACCCCTAAGAAGTATGAGATGTTAAAATTAGCATGTGAGGACTTCAGAGTGGCTATGATAACTGTGCTTGGTGAAGTAAAGGACAATATCCTTGAAATGAATGAAAAGATAGGAGGGCGCCTGGGTGGCTCAGTTGTTAAGCGACTGCCTTCGGCTCAGGTCATAATCCTGGAGTCCCGGGATCGAGTCCCGCATCGGGCTCCCTGCTCAGCAGGGAGTCTGCTTCTCCCTCTGACCCTCTTCCCTCTCATGCTCTCTCTCATTCTCTCTCAAATAAATAAATAAAATCTTTAAAAAAAAAAAAAAGATAGGAAATAGCAGCAGTGAAATATGAACTGCATATAAGAACCAAATGGAAGAACTGGAACTGAAGTATACAGTATCTCCAATAAAAAGGTCACCTTAAGACCAGAATAGAGGGCACCTGGGTGGCTCAGTCGTTAAGCGTCTGCCTTCGGCTCAGGTCATGATCCCAGGTTCCTGGGATCGAGTCCCCTGTCGGGCTCCCTGCTCAGAGAGGAGTCTGCTTCTCCCTCTGCTTCCGCCCCTCCTCCCTGCTCATGCTCTCTCATGCTCTCTCGCTCTCTCTCTCAAATTAATAAATAAAATCTTTTTTAAAAATAGCTGGGAGGGCGCCTGGGTGGCTCAGTTGGTTAAGCGACTGCCTTCGGCTCAGGTCATGATCCCGGAGTCCTGGGATCGAGTCCCGCATCGGGCTCCCGGCTCAGCGGGGAGCCTGCTTCTCCCTCTGACCCTATCCCCTCTCATGCTGTTCCCCCCCCTCAAATAAGTAAATAAATAAAATCTTTAAAAAATTAAAAAAAAAATAAAAATAGCTGGGAGTATACATCTCTAAAAGGGGCAAAATATGACAGTCTGTGTCAGAAATTACAACAGCCTATTCAGAACTTGATGAATATTGTATCTCCTTAATGAGAAGTACTTTTTGACCACCGTGTTCTGTCACTCACCAGCCTGCTAAGGACTCCAAAAAGCAAACTGTAGCCCCTGGCTGGTCTCCAGGCTCTGGTGACGGGACCACCCATGCCGTGTCATGACCTGCCTCTGCACAGGACTGTGACCCGTTAGCAGTCTGAACACGCAGCACACGGGGCTGGATGCCCCGCAGCCTAGCAACGGTGTTCTTGTCCTTTGCGAAGGGATGGCAGAGGGACAATGGCTCCTCCTTTACAAGGCTGCCAAGCCCTCCTATTTCTCACTCTCTCTCTCCTCTCTGCCTTTCTCTCTTCTGTTTTGTACTCCTGTCCCCATGTCATCTCTGTGGTCTGTCACGAGTTGTTTCTTCCTGTCTTTGGCACGCAGGGAAGAGCTGGGATTTTGAAAACTGATGAAGCATCGCAGCCAGGGAGGGAAGGGACAGCTCAGCAAGCTGGGCGGGCCAAGTCTTCTTCCCTAAGAGCCTAAGGCTCCCCTGCCCCCTTCCCAGAAAGGAGATATGTGTATGAGTCTGTGTGCACACCAAGGCACATTTACAGGTCACTGAGTGCTTGAGCCAGAAAATCCTTGTTTGCTTTTACTGTCCCTATTGCGTTGCTGCCTACCTTCTGGGCCTTCACCTGACCCTTTTTCTGTCCCCACTTCCCATTCTATCCTGAGCAGAGGCGGCAGAGCATAAAGGCTGAGAGCATAGGTCTGGGGCCAGACCACCCGGGTTCAACCCCGTCTCCGGTGCTTATGGGTGTGTGACTTCCAGCAGATTAATCGTGCCTCAGTTTCCTCATCTGTAACATGGGAGTGACAAAGGCATCCACCTTAA